GACCTGCCTGCAGACAAAAGACGACTCTATGCAAAATTTTGGCGATCTATCTCAATTCGTTTAGACGCTAGAGTGATTACAACAGACAGACAGACGGGCATGCTTAGATCGTCATAGAATTTTACGCTGATCAAGAATATATATACTTTATAGGGTCGGAAATGATTATTTCGATGCGTTACAAACGGAAAAACGAAGATTCTGCAATGAAGTCATTTTTTTTCTATGAGGTCCTGAATTCTGACGTCACATTCACTAAGGCTAAACAATTCAGTTGAAACAAGTCAAAATGTCGTGTTTTCTATATGGTTGTATGTTGTCCATGCTCCGAAAAAAATTATGTTCCAAATTACAGACACTCAGGTTGGAAATCTGGGGTAGCAATTACAATATACCAAAAATAATTATCGGGGCAGTTGTATGGGGTTTATTTCGAAACAACAGATATTGAATAATTTCTGGAAAAAAGTGTTTTATTCACTGGGAATCCAATATGCCAAATTATAGTCACTTCGAAGAAAAAATTAGACAAAAACCTGAATAGAGTAACTTTTGGTAATGTGGACCATGCGTCAAATGTGGACCACCCCCCATATCTAAGAAAATGCTTGAAATATGCCAATGCCGCCTTGATATATGTTTTCCTAATTAGTGAGAACAAACATCAAACTTGGTTTTTAATAAATAATTGCAATGTTGAAAATTTAGTAGGTGAAAATGTAGCTCTGATTGCAAAAGTGTGATTTGAAAATTTTTTAGCACAATAGTCGAACGATTTTGTAAAATAGTCGAACATTTTGTTTTTCTCGAATATAAAGAGGTTATGTGGTTTTCTTGTTTTCTTTAACAAAAATACACATTTATCTGTAATTACTTTCGGTTATTTTTAAATTTTTATTCATTTTTGAAGCCGATAATTATTTTTAAATAAAAATATTCAATGTCGGGTAATGTGAACCACTATAAAAAAGTGGGACATTTTCATGAGGACGAGTTCGAAACAAGGGCGCATTTAATCTGCGAGGAGGTATTCAATCCTCTGAAAACTCGATATCCGAAATTATAGGTGCCTCGGTTGGATAATGAAGCAAGGACCTTCAAAATACCGCAAATGGGGTGGTACCCTTAAATGGGGGCAATTCCAAAACATGGACCCATATATTTTTGCATTCATTGTTACCCAAGAGTGCAATAAATTGAAATTTATCACAATTAATCCACAACCTACCTTTAACTTACTGATCCTCATTACCCACACATACTGGTCCACATTACCCGCCAAGTTATTTTTATATGCAGTTTAGAGTTTTTTGAAATATAATGCAATAACATTTTTATGGACAAATATATATAATTTTTGACCTGGAATATAATTAGCCAACAAATCTACCATGCTGTGAAAACAATTTGTTTTTATTTTTTACCGTTGTTACGCCCACAATATCAAAAAAAGAAAATGGTGGTCCACATTACCCGAAGTTACTCTAATATCGAAAATTGAACGGGACTTTTTTTAACATTTTCTAAAAAATATGTTTTTTCGCCCTACAATAATCCGCATAGGTAAATTACAGAAACTTCGATGGAAAAAATCCTCTACGAACTTTAAAATTGGGACCTTTATATGGAGGCAATGTCAACAAATGAACAATTTCCCAAAAATTTGGTGAGAAAAAATTCCACAAATGGGACGATACATTTTTGTGGGGACTATATCAAAACTTGGACACCAAGATCCCGGAATGTCAAATAACAGCTACTGCAATGAGGAATAAATGCGGCTGAAATCCTAAAAATACTGAGAGAGAGCTATGAGACGGACCTATATTGATAATTTTCTTTACATGTTTGTCCGCCATCAAGAATCTATTCTACCAAATGACATTTTCATCGGTAAAGCCTTTAAAGTCCCGAAAATGGTTCGGTACCGTTATATGAGACCAATACCAAATGGTTTAATTTTTGGTAGGAAGATTTGACACCCCCCGAGAATGGGAAACCATGGGGGTCACCTGGAATCTTGGACCAATATTTAAAATGTATGGTAGGTAGATTTTCTGCTTGATAAGAACTCTTGATAAGAATAAGAATATAGAATTACATTCAATTTGGTAAAAATCATGTCCCAAACAACCCAACATACTGGAATTTTGGATATAGCATTATATGGTGCTTACCAATATTTATACTTTTTGCTAGGATGATTTACTGAAAACCCAAATTACCAAATTACAACCGAAAACGTGCACATGAATCTCAAAATAATAAAATAATAAGAATTCAAAATATCAAATTGCATTCAATTCTTTAGAAAAGCTTGCCAAAAATCCTCAAAATTTCGAATATTTTTGGTGTACCGTTATATGGGATATACCAAAACGTGGACTATGTTCAATAATGGGGACTCTAGTTCTCTGATTTCAATAGACAGACGGGATCTCCGACTTTGTGGGATCTCCGACGCATTTTTCAAGGTGTTGCAAAAGGAATGAGAAATTTAGTATGCACAACACCTTCTGGTGGTAGAACTTAAGAAAAGTTATTCAAATCTGAATTATGGGTCGAATGGTTCTTAAAAAAAAAAAAAAAAAAAAAAAAAAAAAAAAACTTTAAAATACTCGCTCTGATAGTTCTTTGAACAAAGTGCTAAAAAATCCACTTTCGGCTCCTTCTTTGAAAATAAAGTATCTAAAAAATTACTGCTTACGGATCTGGCAGTTTTTTTTAATCCAATATTACCTCTAATATTATATCACAGAATATTCAAAGGTCCACGATTGTGGCTTTAATAGTCCTTAAATTAAATAACAAATTATTTAAAAAAATGTCATTCGGTGTTGCCGACAGAAATATACCCTCAGCCATACCAGCTTGTTTTCGGAATTACAAGCTGGTTTTATTATCAAAGAGGTTTCGGATTTGATGTTGATATAATCGATTGTTCAAAATTGAATTTACATGTTTATAAAATATTGACCCTTTGTGGGGGTTAAAAGAAAAATGTGCATAAGTATATAAAGAAAGAAAAAGGGCGGAACCTTTATATTTTTAATACCAAACATCCTAAGAATAGGAATGTAAGTGCAAAATTTCAAATTTCTCTCTTAATTAATGCGGATATGGCTTAATAGGAATTAAATTATTCAGTTAACGAAAAAACAAATTTCATATATCTTCTATATATGCGTGTTGGTCCATTTAGTGAGTGTATGCTCAATTGTTGATGACTATGTAAGCTCAGACCAGAGTCCGATATACCTTCACAGAAGTTATTTAAAAAAAAAACTCCACGCTTATGGCTTTGATAAGCATTGGCTACAATTATTTAAATTATTCACCATTCTAATTTTGAACGTCCTTTAAAAAAAATCCTTTAAAAGTCCTCACATACGCTTCCGATAGTTCTTCGAAAAACTCTAAGCTTAAAGCTCTTACAGTCAATCAAAATATTATTTTAAAAATCCACGATTTTGGCTCCAATAGAACTACCCAATTTTTTTTTTTAAATTCACGATTATGGTTGTCATTCGAAAAAATATAAAAATCAGGCTGATGGTTCGATTGACCTTGACAACAAATCATTTAACAATCGATCTTTGATTTTTTAAATATAAACCTATAAGGAAAGTAGTAAAGTCGGACCGGGCCGACTATATGATACCCTTCACTACGTTGGGTATATTCAACAGATGAATCTTAAAAGACGTCACATTTTTAAAGGACCAGATGGACGGACGGACGGACATGCGTAAATCGACTCAGAAAGTGATTCAATGCATATGCTCAAAAGGAACCATGTGTCTATCTCGTTTCCTTTTGCCTGTTACAAACATATGCACAAAGACATAATACCCTGTACCACAGTGTGGTGAAGGGTATACAAATATTTAAAATATTAATGCTTTTGGCTCCGATAGTACTTTAAAAAAAAAACATAAAAAATTCGCGCTTATGGCTCTAATATAGTCCTTCTAAAAATTATTTATAAAATACATGCGTTAAGCTCTGACAGTCCTTGAAAAAAAAAAAAATTATTAAAAAATCACCGCTTATGGTTCTGATAGTCCTTCGCTTATGGCTCTGATAGTTCATGACAACAAATTATTTAAAAGTCCTGTACTGATGGCTCAGATAGCCTTTCGAAAAAAATAATAATTTAAATTTGGTTCTAATATAGTCCTTCTTAAAAATTGTTTATAAAATACATGCTTTAGACTCTGATTATCCTTGAAAAAAAAAATGATTAAAAAATCCCCGCTTATGGCTTGGATAGTCCTTCGCTTATGGCTCTGATAGTTCATGACATCAAATTATTTAAAAGACCTGCACTGATGACTCATATAGGCCTTCGAAAAAAAAATAATAATTTAAAATCCTCGCTCCGGCTACGATGGAAAGGATAGCCCTTCGACAAAATTATTTAAACAATACACGTTTTTGGCTTTCATAGTCCTTAAAAATTCTGACTTACGTATCTGATAGTCATTCGAAAAAAATATTTTAAAATCTTCGCTTATAGCTCTGCTAGTCCTTGGCAAAAAATTCAGATAAAGACTCGATATATGGGGTCAACAGTATTTTTCCATACGGAAATAAATATTTTCCACATCATGTTGCTGAATTCTGATAAATTCTTGTGTATGAGACTTTGAGATTTTCTGTTCAAATAAAACAAAGTGATTTAAAAAATTTTAAAATTAAAAAACCTGCTTCGAAAATTTAATCAAAAATTTAAAAATTCCATTTCGAATTTGAAAATAAAATTTGTATAGAGCTTTTTTTAATTTCAAGAAGAAATGTTTTTCTATCTCCATCTACAGTCGCCCAGATTTTTTAAACATTGCTAATATGTGAAAAAAGTGATAATAACTGTGATTAAAAACAAAAGTTAAACACGAAAACTTTAGTTTAAATAAAATCGGAAACCTCAAGTGGAACAACGTCAATTACAAAACGAACGAAAAAACAAATAAAAAAGAAAAACAACAAAGCAAGACAAAATGCCACAACGATCACCTTTTGCCATACAAGAACTTTTGGGTCTTAGCGGCGGCAATAACAATAATAGCAACAACATCAACAACAATAATAATAACAACAATGTGAATAAAAATCTACAAGCAACAACAACTAAGAACACAGCTGCTGGCACAGTGGCCACCACCACTGTGGCCATCACCACCAAACAAAAGGACAAAAAGCAAAGTGAAATAAAACAGGAAATAAACATGAATGGCAGCCAGGGTAGTAGGAATGCTACAGAACACACATCATCATCCGAATCACCAAAATCACGAGAAGATGCCGAATCAGAGGAGCAAGCAATTAATGGAGAAACAAATAATCTTAAAATTTCCAAAAATTTATATAGAAAGGCACACAATTCTCCTCCAGAACAGAGGGGTAATGAAGGTGATGCAAATAGGGATGAGGGTGGCAATGATAGTCCCCACAAATCACCCATAATGCCCACAGATTTGTCAACAACACCGGTTAATTCCAATTCGCCACACTCATCAATTTCCTCCACATCCACATCGTCTGTTAATCAGGATTCCCAGGACACGGAACGAAGACGTCAACAGCATTTACAGCAGCAGCAGCAACAACAACATCACCAGCAACAAATGTCCATGGCAGCATCACGTATGGCCTATTTTAATGCCCATGCAGCAGTGGCTGCGGCCTTTATGCCTCATCATCCGGCGCAACATCATTTGGGAGCATCTCCTGCAGCTCCCCTTCCACATGCTGGACAACAACAATTGTCACATCATCCTCATCCCTATTCGGCAGCATTAGGTTCTGGACACATACAACATCATTTGGCACACAATCAGGCAACGAGTCAACAGCAACAACATCATCCACATTTACCTACAACGCTGCAACATGCTGGTCACCATATACCGACATCAATACATGCAGCCGCAGCAGCGGCAGCAGCACAACATCATCATGCGATGATGCAAGGACAGGGTAAGTAGCTATTAATTAACAAATGTTGATGGATATTGTGAGGCTTTGTCTGCTTCTCCCTTTATTTGTTGTTGTTGTTTTACAAAATATATTTATTAGCTTTCAAAGATGCCTAGAAAAATATTTTTTTAAAATATCTACACCTTTGGCTATTAAAAAAATTGTAAAGAATCCTCATCTAAGGCTATTAAAACCAGTAAGGAAAGTTCAAAAGTAGGACGAGGCCCACTATATGATACTCTTCACCATTTTGGACACATACAAGGGATGATAATGCGTACAATATCCTGTTGATAGAAGAGACATAGCATCTTTGGATGACCATTGATATGGAATCGGGTGAAAACAGATGTGATGACCATTTACCTTAAATCGGACGAAAAGATATATCAAATTTCGTACAAATCGAAAGATATATGGGACTTTTGTGGACCATTTTCATTAAATCGGACGAAAATATATATGGGAGCAATATCTCAATCTGAACCGATTTTCAGGAAACTTAAAACACACCATTCTAGACCTAATTCATTACGCTATGCCAAGTTTCGTGCAAATCAAAAGATATATAGGGACTTTGGTGCACCATTTACATTAAATCGGACAAAAATATATATGGTAGATATATGTAAATCTGAACCGATTCCAACAAAACATCGCATACATGAATCTGGACATAACTCTGTACTCTGTGAAAAATTTTGTCTCAATCGGACCAATATTGGCAGTATGGTGTTCCATTTACATAAAATCGGATTCAATACTCTGTGTAAAATTTTGTCTCAATCGGACTAATATTTCACAAAAAATCTGACGAAACTATGCATGGGAGCTGTATCTAAATCTGAACCGATTTTAACAAAACTTCGCAGACATCTGTCTGGACCTAATTCAGTACACTGTGCAAAATTTTGTCTCAATCGGACCCTAATTGGAGTTTGGTGTATCATTCAAATTCTGTACTCTGTGCAAAATTTTGTCCCAATCCGATAAATATTGGAAGTTTGGTGTATCATTCACAAAAAATCGGAAGAAACTATATATGGGAGCTATATCTAAATCTCAACCGATTATAACAAAACTTTGCAGACATCAATCTAGACTCAATTCAGTACTCTGCACAAAATTTTGTCTCAATCGGACCAATATTGGGAGTTTGGTGCACTATTTACTTAAAATCGGACGAAAATATATATGGGAGCTATATCTAAATCTGAACCGATTTTTCCCAATTTTAAAAGGGTTCGTCATTGGGCCGAATAAGTGACATGTGCAAATTGTTATCCAAATCGGATTATAAATGCGACCTGTACTTTGTTTGCAATTTAACATCAACAGACGGACGGAAGGACATGCATAAATCGACTTAGAAAGTGATTCTATGCATATTCTCAAAAGGAACCATGTGCAGGTTGTGAAGATCCATACTTATGGTAGGTTGGGGAAAAATTTTTATTCAAGAAATCCACACTTACGGTAGGCTTTAAAAGTCCTTCAGAGAAACTATTTTAAAAATCCAGGCTTTTGGCACATATATTCTTATAAAAAATATTTAAAAAATCCTCTGATAGTCCTTCTCGAAAATTATTTAAAGAATCCTCGCGTATGGTTCTAATCGCCCTTCCAATAAAATAAATCCACCTTTATGGCTCCACCTCTGAAGAAAAATATTCAAAGAATCCCCGCTTATGGCTCTGATAGTCCTTCGAATAAATAATTTACAAAAATTTACGCTTATGGCTCTGATAGTCCTACGAAAAAAATATTTTAAAAATCCACGCTTATGGCTCTGATAGTCCTTCGAAAAAAATTATTTACAAAACTTCACGCTTATGGCTCTGATAGTCCCTCGAATAAATTATTTACAAAAATTCACGCTTATGGCTCTGATAGTCCTTCGAAAAATGTATTAAAAAAATCCAAGCTAATGGCTCTGATAGTCATTCTCAAAAATTATAAAAACAATCTGATAGTCCTTTTTAAAAATTATTTAAAAAAAAATCTTCGGTATGGCTCTGATAGTCCTTTGGAAAAATTATTTAAAAATCCAGGTTTATGCTTCTGAAAATCTTTTGAAAAAATTATTTAAAAAATCAAGCATATGGCTCTGATAGTCCTTCAAAAAAATATTTCAAAAAAAATTCTACGGCTCTGATAGTCTTCGGAAATCCACCTCTATGGCTCTAATCTGAAAAAAAAATATTCAAAGAATCCCGCTAATATCTCTGATAGTCCTTCGAATAATATTATTACCAAAAATTTATGCTCTGATAGTCCTACGAAAAAAATATTTTAAAAATCCACGCTTATGGCTCTGATAGTCCTTCCTTTAAAAAAATCCCCGTTATGGCTCTGATAGTCCTTCGAATAAATTATTTACCAAAATTCACGCTTATGGCTCTGATAGTCCTTCGAAAAATATATTTCAAAAATCCAAGCCTGTGGCTCTGATAGTCCCTTGAAAAAAGTATTTAAAAAAATCACGCTTATGGTTCTTATAGTCCTTCGAAAAAATATTTAAAAATTCACCCTTGTGGCTCAGATAGTCATTCGAAAAAGATTATTTAAAAATCCACGCTTTTGGTTTGAGTGTTTTCGAAAAAATTATTTAAAAAAAATCCACGCTTATGGCTTTGATAGTCCTTCGAAAAACGTATATAAAAATCCACGCTTTTGGTTTGGGAGTCCTTCGAAAAAAATATTTAAGAAATCCACGCTTATGGCTCTGATAGCCCTTCAATAAATTATTTAAAAATCCACACTTTTGGTTTGAGAGCCCTTCGAAAAAATTATTTAAAAAATCCATGTTTGTGGTTCTGATAGTCCTTCTCAAAAATTATAAAAAAAAATCCTCGCGTATAGCTCTGATAGTCCTTTTCAAAAATTATTTAAAAAATCCTCGATATGGCTCTGATAGTCCTTTGGGAAAATTATTTAAAAATCCAAGCTTATAGCTCTGAAAGTCTTACGAAAAAAATATTTAAAAATCCACGCTTTTGGCTCTGATAGTCCTTTGAAAAAATTATTTAAAAAATCCACGCTTATGGCTCTGATAGTCCTTCGAAAAAAATATTTAAAAATCCACGCTTATGGCTCTGATAGTCCTTCGAAAAAATTATTTTAAAAAATGCACCCTTGTGGTTCTGAAAATCCTTCGAAAAAGATTATTTAGTAATCTACGCTTTTGGTTTGAGAGTCTTCGAAAAAATTATTAAAAAATCCACGCTTATGGCTCTGATAGTACCTTGAAAACAATTATTTAAAAAATCTACGCTTATGGCTCTGATAGTCCTTGAAAACATGTGGATTAAAAATCCATGCTTGTGGCTCTGATATTCCTTGAAAAAAAGTATTTAAAAAAGTGCAACCTTATCGCCTTGATAGTCTTTCGAAAAAAATTCTTTAAAAAATGCACGCATGGCTCTGATAGTCCTTCGAAAAAATTATTTAAAAAATCCACGCTAATGGCTCTGATTGTCCTTCAGGAAAATTATTTAAAAAATCCATTCTTATGGCTCTGATAGTCTTTCGATTTTTTTTAAATCCACGCTTATGGTTCAGATATTTCTTCGAAAAAATTATTTAAAAGATCTACGCTTATGGCTCTGATAGTCCCTCGGAAAAATTATTTAAGAAATCAAGCTAATGGCTCTGATTGAAATATTAAATTATGGCTCGGATAGTAGCTATAAAAAATCGTATGATAGTCCTTCAACAAATTATTTAATAAATACTTAAAAAAATAGAAAAAACCACACTTAAGACTACTTGGAAATAATAAGTTTTTTGTTCCACTGTGCATATCTCATATCTGTGTTCGAGCAGTAGTTATTGATATGGTGACATGACTATCGTCTGAATGGATTAGGGGGGTTAACCACAAAGGCTGCTTAACTTGAAACGCATTACTTACAAAGAATAACATAAATTTTGTTGTTGTTGCTGTTGTTCCTCCAGTGCCATTTAGTTATTCTTATTGCAATAACCGATGACAATGGTATTGGTTGGAGGGCTGGTACTTTTCTGGTATTCCTCCAACAAAACCCCACTCAAAATGTTTGCTGACATATCAAAGTGAAATTGAATTTGACAGACAAGCGCGCTAATTTCCTGCAAACTTCCTCTTGCCGTCCCCCTTTATTTTCGACGACGACCTCTTGTGGTTGCAACGCCTAACGAGAACATCAACATGTACCCTAAATGGGAGTCAAAGAATGCAATGAGAATTGACTGAATGTTTGATTGCGTATTGAAAAAAGAAACGGTCATATGAATTCGAACAAATTGTAGCCCTATTCGGAAGGTTGGGATACAAGTTTTTAAGTTCCCTCTAGTTTTCAAAATAAATAAATAGAAGGGTTGTAATCTGTCATACAGTTAATTGCGTCTTCAATGACATTTTCGTCTTATTTCAGAGCAACGACGGAGTCGAGGCAAAGATCTTGGGGAACATTAAAAACCCTGCAGCAGAGAATCCGATATTCTATAGAAATTGTAATTTTTTCAGGCTATCAAAGAATATTTTTTTCCATCCTGCCATAGGCGTAGATTTTTTAAAGAATATTTTTTCCAACCTGCCATAGGCGTAGATTTTTTAAAGAATATTTTTTCCAACCTGCAATAGGCGTAGATTTCTTAAAGAATATTTTTTCCAACCTGCCATAGGCGTAGATATTTTAAAGAATATTTTTTCCAACCTGCCATAGGCGTAGATTTTTTTAAGAATATTTTTTCCAACCTGCCATAGGCGTAGATTTTTTTAAGAATATTTTTTCCAACCTGCCATAGGCGTAGATTTTTTTAAGAATATTTTTTCCAACCTGCCATAGGCGTAGATTTTTTAAAGAATATTTTTTCCAACCTGCCACAGGCGTAGATTTTTTAAAGAATATTTTTTCCAACCTGCCACAGGCGTAGATTTTTTAAAGAATATTTTTTCCAAAATGCCACAGGCGTTGATTTTTTAAAGAATATTTTCCAAATTTTAATGTTCCTGTTGT